TCAAATAACAGCTTGGCACTATCTCTCTAGTGAACTCCCACCCATCTATGATTATGCAAGCTCAATTTATATATGCAATGACATATCCATATCTAATTAACCCAGTGAAATCAGGAACTTTAATAATTCAATTCATCACATACTTAGACTCACACTCATCAATCATGATCCTACTATTAAGAGCACAATAGTAACACCAATAATAATTTTAGCAAAACACATTTAAGATTCCTAACTCAAGATGTTAACTCATTTAGGAAATTGATCATGCTTATAATATTGTCACGTATTTCATGGCATAACATACAAACTCATAATTTACAACACAATCATATACTCGAATTAAACTCCTAGTTACCTTTACTCTTGGGCTACCACCCTAAGAGAGAATTTAGATTTTCGAGGGAGCTTCCCACACATGTAAGCTTTAAGAACAATCAGTCTACATTAAGGATTAACAAACAACGCTAATGACTAATTGTCATTAATTAACCTTAATCATAATTAAGGCCTCGATTCCTCATTAAGTGTGATTAAGTAAAACTAACCTTAAAACCTACTTCTATTAGCTTATTTAACTTTCATTAAGCTTAATAAAAACTATTAGCTAACCTCATTAACTTAATTACTTAATACTGGGGTTAATTTTAAACCCTTTATTAATGATATCAAATGCTATCAACAATAAAAACCCATAATGAGAAACTTGAATAACCTCAATTAGACTCCATTAAAGTCATTAAAAAGATGGAACAAGGTTGCCATAACTGGACAACAATGCCACATCCTAAAGACTTAGAAGAAAACTCATAAAAGAGGGAGGAGAAGACATATGCAAAGGATTTTGAGCTATGAAAGGTCCCTAAACACCTCCTACAATGAACCTTAGTAGATCTTCCATGCCTCCCTCTCAATTTCATCTTAAAAACTCATTTTTGCCTTTACTTGAATGCATTTCTACAAATTTAAAATTCATTGCATCAATTGCAATGGATTGCCTAAAATGACAAACCTTATTAAAGCCCACTAATTTGGGTCTAAAGTGGCCCAATAACTCCAAAAGCCTCATTTTAAGCCCCATATAGGGTAGAGTCGAGAATAATGGTCAAGCCTAGAGGGCTTGTTTCAATAAGGTATGAGTTTGAAAAATGAAGAAGTTTTAGGGTAGCTGGGCTTTTAGGTATGGACTTGATAAGCCCTAAAAAAAAGGGCTTAAGCTTGAGTAGTCGTCCAAGTCTTGTTCTATTTTTTCTCTTTTACCTTAGAATGCACCATTTGGCAAATAGGAAAAAACCCTAAGCATTCAACTATTCCAAGTTCTCTAGCTCTCTTCGTCTCTCAACTCAACCTCTCCCTCATGCCTTCTCCTTTCCTCTAGCTGTCTCACCTCTCCCTCTTGCCACTTTGCTCACCCTTTAGATCTCTCTTTCTCTCACCTCGCCTCTCCTTTTTATCTCTTAACTCAGTGTCTCTTGACTCAGTCTCTTCCTCTCAGTGTTCTATTGCTTTGGCTTTTTAGCTCTCTTATTTTCAAGTAATTCCTCTATCGACATAGGCCTTTTTCTAGGCCATGGATTTCAAGATTTCAATTTGATGCTCACTTTTAAAATTTTAATTTGATTTAAAAATTTTGATCCCTTATCTTATTCTACAAGAATTATATCGATATACCTTATATATTTTATTTTTGAAACTTTGTTATGAATTTTGATAGCGTCAATTAACATATATTTAGACTGTTAAATCTTTTATTTATTTTCTAAATGATGTAAGATCTTAATTTATTTTATGTTAAATTTTATAGTTGATTATAATGTTAAATGTTATGATGTTGAATTAAATTATTTTCTATAAAAATAACATTAAATTATAATATTAATATTAATTTTTTTATTCTTTTCAAAATCGGGCTTCTGACCTCGGCCCTGAACCCTTTCAACAAAGGCCTGGTCTTAAGATTTGGTCAAAATTTGAGAAACTAAGCTTTTGGATGAGGCCCACCCATTTTCCCATCTCTAATATAGAGTCCAGTAGAACCAAATGGTCATCTAACTCTATTAATCAACCCAACAAGGGCTAGATTAATTAACTAAGCCTTCTAACTAAATTTAATTAAGTATATCTTAAAATTTGAAATGTTACAAAAAGTACTTGAGAAAGAGTTGAGACAAAAAAAAAAGACTTAATAACCACTTAAATGGTTACAAAATATATACGGCCAGTCAATAACCCTATCCAATGAGTTTTCACAAATAGTCAAGTCTAGTCAAAATAATCAATCAAAAGTAACAATCCATAACTAAACAATTCAATACATGACCAATCTTTTTACATCCAAAGATTTAATCAACGTATAACTAACGGTCTATTTTCTAGAATAGTCAATTATAAATTTACAACCAATAGCATGTTAGCAAGGAAGTTCACGTAGCATACACTTTTGGTTTATTATTATCTAGTTTTGATCAACCTCATCTCATATTTATTTCTCTGGTTGAGATTGTGTTGAATATTATAAATATTTTTTAGTATTTCAAAAGAAACTATTATAAATTAATAATATTAATTATTATTTAAGTCTATTTATTATTTTATAACATATAATTTAAACAACATTATTATTTAAAATCATTTTTTAAATTGTAATTAAGGTGGTTTTATTGCTTAGCATTATAAGATCTGCCTATAAAAGGCAATGCTTGCCACAGGTTTAAGAGAGCCTTTGGTACTCTCGGCCTTTCTCTCTTCTTCTATCGGATTAGTTCATTGTGTAGTTGCCTGAGTATATTCTGTAAATTTCAATTGTTCTATGTCCCTACTTTTAGTAGGAAGAGTCTGTTTAATCCTGGGGAGCTGTCACGTAATCAACCCGATGTGGCATAATAGCTCTTAAGGATAGTGTCCTTGGACACGATTCAAATTAGATTTCACCAGCGATTGCCAACAATCTTAAGAGCTGCTTTTCAGCAACAATGAAAATGAGGGAATAGTACAAATGCTCAACCCACAAGTACCTAGTTCATATAGGTCTTGGTGTGAGTGGATACAATGATGGTATTGGGGGTATAATCCGACTAATAAGACATCTAACACACGACCAAGATCTATTGTTTCAATAACAAAATTACACCAACTTTTTTGTGTGTTAAGTTTTATTGGTCTAGGTTTGGTTCAAGTCGAAAGACACCGAATTCGAAGTGATTATCTTCCGTGAAAATAACTCAGATGATAATGGTCCTTTTGATACATGTGGGAGATTGTTACAATTGTATTAAAAAGGAAAGTCCCATGTTGCTCAAATGAATGAAGGCCTTAGTTTATGTATACTAAGGTATGAGCTTGGGCAAGTAAATGGGCTTAAAGGAAAAGTGAGTTAAATGTGGTATCAAACAGACTGGGTATTTTTCTAAAATTTTGAAAACTATAACGTGGAGTTATAAATTATTTGTATAAAATTAGTTTTCAAGAAAATTTTTCTTCCTTTTGAAATATGTGGGAGATTGTTGAATATTATAAATATTTTTCAGTATTTCAAAAGGAATTATTATAAATTAATAATATTAATTATTATTTAAGTCTATTTATTATTTTATAACATATAATTTAAACAATATTATTATTTGAAATCATTTTTTAAATTGTATTAAGGTGGTTTTATTGCCCAGTATTATGAGATCTGCCTATAAAAGGCAATACTTGCCATAGGTTCAGAGAGAGCCTTGGTACTTTTAGCCTTTCTCTCTTCTTCTATCGAAGTAGTTCATTGTGTAGTTACCTGAGTATATTCTGTAAATTTCAGTTGTTTTGTGTCCTTACTTTTAGTAGAAAGAGTTTGTTTAATTCTGGGGAGTTGCCGCATGATCAACTCAGTGTGGCTGAATAGCTCTTAAGGACAGTATCTTTGGGCACGACTCAGACTAGATTTCACTAGCGATTGCCAACAGATCGTAGGCTTTAAAATCTCAATTCCCAAATCCCTTTATCAAAAGGTGCGGAATCTTCTAATAGGAGCATCTGACAAAAGCTGTGATTTTGTCGACTTCAAATTTTCCACTTCCAAATTGAGTTTGGAAAATTTGGATATCAGCAATTTCAAGCTGTGATCCAATCAATGTTGTGGTTTCATATTCAAATCTTTCACTGAGGAGGAAAATGATGTCAGCCTTATCGTAACCTCTTCATTCAATTCTAAATTCATTCTCACAAACTGCTACTTTAGTTGAACTAGAAAGACTCATGAAGACCACGATTGCCACGATGAAAGATGATGGTTGGAGCACTTCATATGCTTTCTCTGGTCATCTTTTTGTACCAACCAAGCTGGTCCGAGCTTCAGCCAACCAAGCTCAAGGAGTCAACATATAGACGTTTGAACAAAATAGACAGAAGATGTGATATGCTATATTTTTTAGTTCTTAAATTAATTTATACCACCTCATAATATAAGATATTTAGTACTCTTTAAAAAATAGTTTAAGATCAAAAATGATCTTTAATCCTTTTTTTAAAAAAAAAATGCATGCGCTAAATTTATTTCAAATTAAACCAAATCAATTAATTAAGAAATCAAACCAAATTGATTTCTTTAAAAATCAAACAGTTCCCATTTTGTGTTTATGTGATTGGCTTGGTTTGATTTTTTGCCCCCTAAAATCAAATCAACCTGAATAATTTATTTTATTTCTCATAAGTATTTTTTTTATTGAAGGCAACCCCATTCAAGGCACTGTTAAGTGTGGGCATTTTTAGGCACTCATCTCAATGAGAATTTCAACATTAATTTGCCCTCTTGTGAATGATCAATTTTTTCTATTAGACTCAACCTGTTGGCAGTCAACCTAAACATTTGATTTGAACACCACTGTGGATCAAGCTGGCTCCCAGATTACCACTTCGCAATTTTGACTTGGCAGTGGGCCTGTATTGTTTTCCAAGGGATCTGATAAACTCTCGGCCCATTTGGCCCAATTGCTCTGCTCTTTTCATCTTCCAATCCGCGACGAGGCAAAGAGCCAGGGGGAAGATGACTGGTGCATTTTGGGGTTCGAGGGTGCTGGAGATTGTGAAGAAGCATGATTCTGGAGGCCTCGTATGGAAGAGAATAAAGCTCACCTCTACTCGTAAAGCCAATGCTAAGAAACGTCTTCATCGAGTCTGGCAGGCATGTTCCTTATTGCTTTTTGTATTTCTCTCTTAGTCTCCCCCTTCTTCCTCCTCAGATGAATCATTGATGCTTACGCGCCAACTGTTGCTTATATATTCTCTTCATAGTTCTCGCTACTTTAGGGTGTCTTCTGGTGCCTCTGACTTTTTTTTTTGTCACTTCTCAATTTCTGTTGATTTTTTTTTTTTAAATTTTCCCACCTGAAATCTTTTGTAGATGCTGGAATTCGATTCGTGCCGTTTAGTGGGTTTTCTTGTATTCCATAGGTTTTTTATTCCTTTTTGCTATCGCAATTCTGATTGTTCATGTTCTCTGAAAATTGTTTGATGCTTTTAATTGCAAATCCTTGCCTTGTATTTCATCATAGAATTCAAGCTGGTATAAGTGATTTTCTTGTGTGAAAAAATTCTTTTGGCCTTGGTGTGGTAAATGTTGTTGTCCTTAGTTTCTCGGAGTTAGTCTGTTATTATCACTTGGCTACCGTGATTTTGACGTGTGTAATAGACCGAATTTTTTTTTTTTATTAACCAACTTTTCTGGTAATCCATCATAATTCAAGTCAATAATGGCATGAAAACATGAGAAAATGTTGGGGGAAATGAGAGAAACACTGAAGAGATGATCTTCCTGGCAAACTTCTATCTACACGTATCAGCTTTTCATTTGTTCTATTCTGATTTTGCATCTTAGCTACCTTGGTTTATGAGGTGGGATTTTCTACTATGGGCTTTGGATAATGAACCAAGTCATATGGTGATGTCTCAACTCTCTTTGAGATAAATTTGGATTGAGGTTCAGTCTGACTGTCATATTCATGTCAAATAAGAATTCCTGTTCAGGTGGCTGAATTTCCCCTTTTCTTTGAACTCCCATAGCTCAGAAAAGCTGCAAGCCATCTTAGGGTAATTTTGTGCACGTGTCCTCTGAGCTTCAAAACATCTTGTTTAGGGCCATCATCTTAGAATATATTCTTAAGATAGGTGGCTACTTTTTTCTTTTCCTTTCACAGTTGGAATCCATGTATGAATTTGGTGTTCTTCTGGCTTTAGGAAAACATGAAATGGTCGGCAAATATGTGTCAAATGTACTAATATAATTCACTGTTGAAGAATTTAAAGTACGTTGACCCTTCTCTTCAATTTGGTTTCAATTGAGGAGAAGGTACTAAAAACTAGGCCAGTCGATGTAGTGGTTTAAGGGTTAGTGGCCCAACTAAGGGTCAACCTGGAATCAGATCAATTACAGTTAAAATAATATTTGATTAAATATACAAAAGTATTCATATGAAAGGCCATAATATTTAAATAAAAGTTATTAATTCTTGAGTAAATGAAAAGTTTATCCATAACATCTTATGTATGTCTTATAGAAATAATAATTATAAGTTTCTGAAAATAATAAAACATAATAGCTTTAAAATTATTAATTAAAAAATTATATTTGATTTAGGGTTCAATATTTAGAAGACGAAAGGAAAAAACATAGACAAATAAAAAAAAATAAAATCTGACCCAAGTAAACCCATTAACCCATCGTGTTGGCTGGGTTTGTCTGGGTTGAAGCCAAGTCATAGGTGACCGGTTTCATTAATCAATTGAACTGGCTAGGTGATTGGTTCACTGGTTTACGAGTCAACCCAGTCAGTCTGAGTTTAAGAACAGTGATTGAGGGGCTTGTAAAACTAACTTTAAATTTAGATGTAGAATCTTGACAATACCTCAAAGTTGTGATGTATTCTTGGATTTGGATGCTTGATGGAAAGTAGGTTGAAATCTTTAAGCTTCTTCAATTGATGCTACTTGAAGTTGATTGGCCTAGAATTCTTCTTTGGTTGACTTCGACTGGAGAGCTTGATATAGTTTGAATCTTAATTTGAATAGCCGGACCTTGGAGTTAAATTTCCTCTTTGGTTGATTTTGACTCAAATACTTCAAAATGCTTGAATTTCAAATTGCAGTTCTTAAAATCCAGGGAATCCCAATTTTCTTCCATAGTTACATTCAACTACAATACCTTGAAATGGCTATGTAGTAGTTATGCAGTACAAATTAGTGGCTATATAAATATATTATAACAGTAAGAGATAACTGCATAGTAAAATTGTGTGGCTAAAAAAAAGAAAAGCAAATTGAACATGGATTTTTGTTCTGGAAGACATCATTATGTGTCAATCCTTTGAAATGACATGTGACTTGAATTTGATTTACCACGGTAATGTCCTTTTGTATGCATGGAAAATATTTTATTTATGTTTGGTGAGATTTTCTTCCTATCCTCCTAGTACAATCTTGCTTGCTGATTTTTAGAAATTATGTACAAATCTGATACTCAAATTTTTTTTTTCGCTTGATCACAATGGCATCGTATAATTCATGTTGCCGACCCCATCTAGTGAGATAAGGCTTGTTGTTGTTGTTGTTGTTGTTAATCTCTGGGATTTGAATGGCAGGATTATTGCTGTCAATCCTCCATATTAAAATAAATACATTGAAAATTCATTCTCTGCTTTGTTCAATTGATTTTGATGTATTTACTTTATGAAGTGTTTTAGTGACACATGAAATTTTCACATTGGTTATTAAAATTCATTCCAATTACCACTGTCTTTTGTCCCCCAACAACATTGGCTTGTTGAGTTGTTGTTCAAAGTATTCTCCTTAATTGGATTATTAGAAACCCAAATAAAGAAAGAAAACTACTATGATATTAGGAATGTAATGAATAAATCAGAAAGCAAATAAAGTTTTGAACTTGAAACTAGCTATGTAGATTAGGAGAAGTTTTAGCGACCCTTGTTGATTGCCTGCTACAACGATAGTTGAACCAACTATGATTCTGTTGTGTTTCTACTTTTAAAACTGAATGAAACTTTATTTGGATTGATAATTCGTATATTTCATTGAGAAGGACCCGATACATATATAGATAAGGATAGGAGAGAGTGAATCTAATTAAATTCCTAAACACTCTCCTAAAATCTCTAATAATATCAATCTAATTAAAGACTAAAAAATAACATTACAAGATGAGAAGAGAAAAAGGAAAATTAGGTCTTTGAGATAGGGCCCAGTAATATAAGTTACATATCCAACACTCCTTCTCAAGCTGGTGAGTAGATGTTTATCATTCCCAGCTTGCCTCTGAATGCTTCAAACTTTTCTTGGGTCAATGGTTTGGTCATCGCATTTGCAATTTGCTGTCTTGAAGGGATGTAGGATAGATCGATAGTCTTTGTATCTAAATTTTCCTTGATAAAATGTTGATCGATCCCTATATGTTTGGTACAATAATATGCACCGGATTGTTGGCAATCTTGATTGCAGACATGTTATCACACCATACTTTAATGGGTCCAACTGTGTCAATCTTGAGCTCCTTTAAAAGTCTAACAATCCACATTCCTTCACAAGTTCCTAGAGCAAGAGCCCTATATTCGGGCTCAGCAGAGCTTCTTGAAACTACAGGTTGCTTCTTGCTTCTTCAGGTCACCAAGTTACCCCACACATGAGAACAATAACCAGTAGTAGATCTTCTATCTATTTTTGACCCAGCCCAATCAGCATCTGTGAACAATTCTATGCCTTTAATATCACCTTTTGTAAAGAACAGTCCTAGTCCTAGAGTCTTCTTTAGATGCTTGAGTATCCTGTAAATTGCAGCTAAATGTTCCTTCTGAGGACAGCTTGAGAATTGACTAACTACGCTCAAAGGAAAGAAAATGTCAAGTCTGGTATGAGATAAATAGATCAACTTGCCCACTAGCCTCTGATATTTTTCTTTATTCATTGCTATCCCATCAGATCTAATAGTCAATTTTTGGTGCAGTTCCATGGGAGTGTTTGCAGGTCTTGCTCCTGATATCCCTGTTTCCTTCAACAAATCTAGAGTATATTTTCATTGGGACACACTAATCCCCTTGTGCATTCATGCCACTTCCATGCCTAAGAAATATCTCAAAGGTCCAAGATCTTTGATCTCAAATTTAGTTGCCAACTTGCCCTTTAGTTTGACAATTTCCCCATCATTATTTCCTGTCAAAACTATATATCAACATACACAATGAGAGCTGTCATTTTTTCATCACAATGTTTAACAAATAGAGTGTCATTTGCTTGGCCTTGTTTGTATCCCAAAGTTTAAATAGCTTGAGTAAATTTTTCAAACCACACCCTTAGTGATTGTTTCAAGCCATACAAAGACTTGATCAACTTGCAAACCTTGTGAGAATTATGAGAATCTTGTAATCCCAATGGAATTTCCATATAAACTTCTTCCTCAAGATCACCATTTAGGAATGCATTTTTGACATCGAGTTGATGTAGAGGCCAATCTAGATTTGCAGCGAGGGATAATAGAACTTTTACAGAGTTAAGCTTGGCAACAGGTGCAAAAGTTTCCTGGTAATCAATCCCATAAATCTGAGTAAAGCCTCTAGCAACTAATCGAGCCATATATTTGTTTACACTCCCATCATGATTGTACTTTATTGTGAAAACTCATTTACTGCTTACGATTGATTTCCCCTTGGCCAACTTGATGATTTCCCATGTCTGGTTTTTATGTAGAGCCTTCAATTCTTCTTTTATGGCCTCTTTCCATTTGGGATCTATGATTGCTTCCTCAAAGTTCTTCGGAATATTTTCATTTTCGACATTAGCTACAAAAGCCTTCAAATGAGGAGATAAACTTTTGTATGAAATATACCTGGCAATAGGATATTTGGTACAATTCCTTTTTCCATTTTTCAAAGCAATTGGCCAATGTAAGTCTTCAAGATTTTCCTTAGGTGCAGATTCATGGTTCTGCATTGGTGTGGAAATGGGGTCTTGCCCACTCTGGTGCTATTCAATAGCATTATTAGGTTCTTCCACCGTAGTCTGAGAATCAGACAACATATTAAGGGGCTCGAAAGTATTCACGTCTTGAAAGTAGGATTTGTTTGAGGAATTTTCAGAATTTGGAGTATTGTTTCACTGGGCTCAGATTGGTTTAAAGGC